AATCAACAACGGATACGGTGTAGGACCTTATCCTCATACTAAATGCATGCTACACCTTTCTCTTTCTTCCTGACTGTTTTATCCTGAGCCTACGCCTACGACCATTATCCTGTTGGTACCGTCCACTTCGGTCAATCTTGGCGAAAGCTGATCAGATCACCCATGCTCTTGTCAATGCACTCAGTCGATGATTTGGTTCTGAATATATCTGGCATCCATATGGTTTCAAACTTGGTCGTAATGGTCGTTTCTGGTTCCTTCTCTCAATCTGGTTCCGTCCTACGTCTGTGACGTTTTCTGGTCCGAACTCCTACAAACACAATCTTCAGGTTCTGGATACGAGCCATGCTGGTGTGGCACGCTAAATCGAGCAGCAAACCTGGCACTTTACTACTGGTACAGTTTCCCGTAGCAGACAAATAAAACTACACTGATCGATTCCCTCTCGTCAACTCTTCCGCCCGACAATCGCGCGTCGGCCTATCAGCCACCTAAACGAAACCGCTACATATCGAAAGTGTAAACCCTTTCTAGGGGTGGCTTGCTGTAGTGGAATACATTTACGAAGAGAACGAAATTAGTGAAATGGCAATATTCATTATTGTACCCAATTGTATTAATGGTTGTTTTATTGAACTCTTTTTGTTCAGCTGTACTAAATAGCATTACTTACGCGCTTAACGTGTTGCTAACGTTGCCCAGTTGCCTCGGTAGTTTTTATCTGAGGTTGTTTCATCATCTGGATATGTTTTCGATATCATGAGATGATCAGTCAATACACCTCGTCCTTCAATCACAGCTGGACTTTTGATTTTCGGCCTTAACGGGATTTAACTTATTTCGCGATAAGTAGTCTCAATTAGCCATAACTTTCGCCCTTCGCGAGAGCACAAATGCTAATCAAGCAGTCAAAGTTATTCGGAAAATATGTGCACAGGAAGGAACAATGCCTTGTAAGTATTTCCCGAGGGGTTTTATTATCTCAAAAGTGTTAGGGATATTATATCCCCGGAACTCGCTTGATAAGTGCCTTATTTTGGATTTCACGTTTGTGAGCATGGACTGGTCAGTTGACCTTGAGATTTCATTTCCCACCAGGAAAATCCTTGGCTGTGATTGGCTGCTGTGTATTTAAGTGTGCTATTTTTGTGACTGTCCCAAGGACGTTTCTATGATGTATAAATAAACTAGAGTTGTGCGCTTTATTGTATTGTGATTTCTGGGTGTTTGTAGAATATACTTTCTACGATTACAAAGACTTGTTACAGCTTGGGATTCAAGGTAGCCTACCTGGACTCTGATGCATTGTCTCGTTCACGTTTATCGACTAAGGTGAACTCGTAATAGTTTCAAGCATACCTAGTGACGAACCTAACAAAAGACTGTTATATCATAATTTGGTCACACGCCATCAGGACACCTACCCGAGTAGATTTATGTAGTTTAATATTAAGTTTTGGATATACTGGTACAACACCAATGCAAACTGTTTAAAACATGATACTTCTTATCTACCGAAAGACAGTTGCATCATCCACTTTATGAATGAAAGTTTTAAAGTTACCAATAAAATATGAGTATGAAATGTGAAGAATCGAGAAAGCTACTCCGCGAGTGGAATGGGAGGTTAGTATATGAAGTTGCATACAGCTGAAATATGTGTTAAGGAAACTTTTCACCACGCACATATTCTTTAGAGAACAGGTTTTATGAGTGCTTACTTGTTTGTTAATCATTTATTGATCACTTTTTTTAGACTCCTATTCGCACAATAATTGGAGTACATCTTTCTTTTAGTTTCTACTTCTGGGTTTCTATTCTAACTGTACATTAAAAGATATGCTCAACGGAATCAGCTTTCCAACATTAAAATTTAACCTTGCAAGGGCATTTCAAAGTTATTGATATGTGAACTCTACTCAATTATCATTTTCAGATAGATCTAACTTCATAAAATGCCGTATAGATATAAAAATTTCAAGGTACTATCTGTAAGATAGGATCAATAAGCGAACCCACTAATGATAATATTAAATATATATCATCAGCTGAACTCTCTTTGACTTTGCATGACTATGCCTTGTTTTTTCACCAGTTATAATGTTTTATGATTGTCATATTGTGTCTGTTGACTCATTTTTCTTGTTTATTCGTACTTTCGTACCACACATTGCTCCTGCACGGTCACCATCTTGCTTTTGCTACTCTGTACCTTTCGCCCATTTTCAGTGGCACGATTTTGATATTCTTTCGATATCACGTAATCGCCAGGAAAACATACTTATTCATATGGACTATCCCTTCTACAGCGTTATTAATTCACTACGGGATTAACGCTTAGGACCCAAACGTAATTCGTTTCTAGACGTGTTCATAGTCATGCTCGACTCGAACTTCTACAAATTTCTGTTTTTTTTTGTACATTAACAGGTAAAGTTTATCAAGCCGAATAGCCTGCTTTTTCTGATTTCGGTAAAGCTACGATTTTTTATTTGATAGTCTTAAAGTTAGTTTAGAATTTTATCTGTCTATAAGTACTTCTCACTTATTCAAGATAATATAAAGTTTACTTCAACAGATTGTGCTTTATATCAGTATATGATGTCTAGATTAACTTGTCAGATAATTTGCTCTCTCTTTGGGATACTTCCCTATTGATCATTTAACAGATTTTATATTATAATTTCACGTTCACTTATACTATTTGAAACTTATCTCTTATTAATTAATCAAACTTTATGAATCTATCAATTAATTGGAAATATTTTTCTTTAAATGAAGTAATATTCTATCTTTAACATGAATGTTAGATACATGAATAGTGATTGAAACTGTGAGGAAACCTACAATAATGACAGATTTGAAATCAATGAAGTTTCAAACTGCCTATACAAATTTCTTTCAATTTATATACTCCAAGATTTGGATAAGTATGAAAAACGTACAAGTGGCTTTCGTGTCTCGTCATTTTTTTCATTTTATGATGAAATTTAACATTGATCTATCGACCTAATGAAAATCAAGATTTCGTTAGATATTTGATGTTTATCCAACTAGTGAGTTGGATAATGACGGATTCTAAAGTCTGTGATAAATTTAACACTTCCGATCTTAAATAATCATCGTCTATCGCTATTGAATGTTGAACAGTGTAAAAATAAGCCAAAGTGAATTCAAAAGATGAAAAAAAATAATAAACATTAAAAACAGTTTAAAACAATAATTAGATTAACATAACATTCAAATTTAGACGACATGGTAGACGTTTGCATATACTATTGACTTTCAGCCGAAATAGATACTAGTTGAAAGAAAACATTTTAGCATTTATTGGCACAACCTGGAATGCATTTTCTAACTTATTGATTCTTTAATTATTATAACTTTTCCCATGATTAATACTGTCATTATCAGCTTATCTCTTATCGTTGTTAATTTGTTATTATACAGTTTAAGTCCCGACCGTAGCTGTTATCGGTGGTTGGGCTTGCCTGTCGTGATGAGCGAACCGAGCTATATAGGCTGGAACATATGTTCTTGTAGGTTCTACCATACCAGGTAGGTGGATTGGAGAACGATGAGATTAAAAACAGCTACTCAAGGTCTGAGGGTGAAGTCGCATACTGCAAACTGTAGAGAGGTGTGACATCATTAAGGTGTTTCCCTCGGACATCCAGCATCTGCAGCGATGCTGAATTCTCACAAGGGAAGAAGTGGCTAGAAAAGGTCGACTCTAAAAATGTCACACCTCACTTTACCTCACGGATTTCTGTCTCCGGTGGTATGATATTTTAAACAGGGGCTTAGCCAACTTCGAAAACTTCTCATAAAAAGGCTGTGCATGACCGGCCTCAAGCAGTTGTCTCATGGGCTCTGTGATCACGCTCCCAGGTCTCTAATACCAACACTAATCTATCTTCCTTTACATGTTCTTCAAGAAACACCCTTCCACGATGCGGGCAACCGGGAAGTGATATCCGCTCTCAGACCTGTACCAGCACAATACAGTTTAAGTATTTATTCTGCCTAGTTAAATAGTTTCACCGAATTGAATAGTGTTCCCTCTCTCTCTCTCTCTCACTCTATTTGTTTGTTTGGATTGTAATTTTATGATTTCCAGGTTACATTTACCCATTTGATGACTCAGGTAGCTTGACAACTTCTAGTTTTAGTAACTCCACACCTCATACTTTACTTACTTACGCCTGTTGCCCCCAATGGAGCATAGGCCGCCCACCAGTTTTCTCCAACCAACTGTGTCCTGGGCTTCCCTTTCTAGTTCTTTCCAGTTTTTGTTCATTCATCTCATGTCTTTCTCTATTTCTAGGCGTAATGTGTTCATCGGCCTTCCTCTTTTCCTTTGATCTTGAGGGTTCCATATGAGGGCTTGTTTTGTGACGCAGTTCGGAGCTTTTTACAGTGTGTTTTGTCCACTTCCACCGCTTCTCCCTGATTCCCTTCTCCACTGGAATCTGGTTTGTTCTCTACCACAATAAGTTGTTGCTGATAGTGTCTAGCCAACGAATCCGAAGTATTTTGCGTAGACAACTGTTCATTAATACTTGTATCTTCTGGATGATGGCTTTCGTAGTTCTCCAAGTTTCCACTCTATACAATAGAACTGTCTTGACATTCGTATTGAAAATCTTGATTTTGGGACTCCAGACCTCATCTGAACAAATATAATCGCTTTCGCTTAAGATATACAAACTATTAAATAATTTTTGAATTCATTAGGATCAGCATGTGTGTGTGTGTGAGTATACTTATGAATCACGCACTCACACTGGACTCTACCAGGTACTTGGAACCTGGCACCATGATGATAAGAGTACAATTAAATTAACAATTTTTTTCCCTATTTCTATTTATTAATTGAAAATATAAAATTCATTTAATCAAGATTCGCATAAAATTAATACATAAAGGTTAAAATAGACGAAATGATGCAAAATTATAATAAAATTAAATTATTGAACATTGAACACAATTTACACAATTCATGCTACACTTACATTGATTGTTAATTTTGTATTCTCATTAAATTGTTTAATATCAATGAATTCCACAAAGATATATGAAATATACCATGCAAATGCTTTAATCATTAATGCAATGAATAAATGTGAATGAATTGTATTACGCATACATTTTAATGATCTGTAAAACAAAACAAAACAAAAAAATAAAATATCAACATTTAAGTTGATCGAAAGAAAAATTGAGGAAGTATAATTATTAAATTCATGATTAAAAACTGGCTGCTATTTTATGTTTAAGGGTTTTTTTTGAAGAGTAATGAATGCTGTTGAAATCATTAATCAATTTAGGTTAGACAATCATTGAAAACCTGAATAACGACTATCTTGTCTCATCATCGGGGATGGAACTCTAGGCATATGATACTGAGCTTGGACATTTAACCTCTAGACTTCTGAGTTAGTATTTAATAGTGTAAAACTATAACTTAAGTCAATTTTCAACCATTAGTGTAGTCTTCCAGCGGATACCTTCCTCATACTTGACATTGGTGAAATGTTGAAATTTGTGATGACTAATATGGAAGCATTGGACAGCCGTTTCGTCCTAGTATGGAACTCATTAGCACTAGGTATTCACAACAGTTACCTACGGAAGACAATCAGTGAGGTGGTGCAATTCTTTGGGTTGATTTAATTTAGACACTAACACCGTTGGATAGCGGTTTAGTGGTTCAAACGTTAAGCGTTTGCAGGCGTGACATGAAGTCCTGGGTTCGACTCCTGCGTTCGTAATTCGTGGATGTGCACTGCTGATGGGTCATATACTAGGAGGAATTGGCGATCCAGTGCTTCCAGAATTCTGATGGTGGTCTAACGTTGATCGATTCATTGACCAGACACCATCAGCAACAACCTATTGTGGGAGAGAACAAACCAGGTTCCAGCGGGGGAGGATATCAGAAGGAAGCACTGGAAGTGGATAGGACATACATTGCAGAAAGCACCGAACTACATCACAAGACTAGCCCTTAGTTGGAATCCTGATGGCCATAGGAAAGGAGGAAGGCCAAGAAACACATTACGCCGAGAAATAGAGAAAGACATGAGAAGAATGAACAAAAATTGGACAGAACTGGAAAGGGGGGAGCAGGACAGAGTAGTTTGAAGAATACTGGTTTGTGGCCAATGCTTCATGGGGGGTAACAGTAAGTAAGTAAGTAAGTTACGCAAGATACTCCAGATCTGTTGGCCGGACAACATCAACAACAACTTACTAGGGGATAGCTAGACTGAGGAAGAGTAAGAAATCAGGAAGAAGCAACGGAGCTGGACTGGACAGATCAGAAAACACATTACACCGAGAAATAGAGAAAGACATGAGAAGAATGAACAAAAATCGGACAGAATTTAAAAGAGAGGTCCAGGACAGAGTAGGTTGGACAATGCTGGTTGGTGAACCATTTTCGGTTAGGGGTAACAGGCGTAAGTAGGTAAAGTAATGTACATATATTTATTCAGCCCTAATTTAATAAAAGCAGTTAAATCATACTAGTAAATTAATAATAACGGATATGTTATTGAAACAAATATGAATTATAAATAAAGATTAGGAAAATTACACATCAATGGATTGAAAACTTGATAGAATTTTGCACCCTATTCGACAGAACGCTGAGTTTGTAAAAAGCTATAAGATGTATTTGTAATCCCCTCTGATTCAAATTTATCTCTCTCTGAATGCCATAACAGAGAATTCGGATGAGAATAAACAGTTAACCAAGAAAAAGGTTATGTAAAGTCCTGCTTTCGAATCAACATCAAGAATCACTTATCAGACATATTGTTATTTAGCTCAGTGGTCAATATGAAATAATTTGATTTTTTGCTATCAAAATAACTTGATGTGCTTAGTGTTGAATCTTGTACTGTCATAGGAAATGATTAACACTAAATTGGAGGCATTTTCTGCTCTCTACTAACTAGAACTGCTACAATACTGAGTTGGTAGACGTTGTTGTGTTCCATAGTTCATAGTCATAGTCATAGTCATAAATTATTATTGACCCTAGTTAGCAAACCATTTATCACTAAGAAACGCTAAACAGTTGTTTTACTGTGGTATAGGACTTTCATACACTGCAAATCTACAGTCCCACCAACGACATTCAGATCTCTCAGCAAGTGCTAAATAGTCTGCACCCAATGTTTACTTACATATTTATTACTTCGCCAATCACCATATCTCACTAGAACTCCAAGAACATTTTTAGACGGTGAAGGAAATCAGTAGCTCAGGTGAGTAATTATGGTGGTGTTTCGTTCTCTGAGCTGGATATTTCGGTTGTGGAGCTTTTATTGTTCTTCTGAAAAACGTAATATGTACAAACCTCGAATGCTTCACTTCTACCTGAAGTTTGTGCTGATTAAGTTGTTCCGAAGAACAATGAAAGCTCCACAACCAAAACATCCAGCTCAGTAAACGAAACGCCATCACTCCAAGAATTTTGTCTGGAAATTAGTCACTAGCCAGTATATGATGCTTACTGCTACTTTCGCTTCCTAGTTTTCCGTTGTTTAACTAATTAAAGTAATAATTCGATAACTGTATCAACTATTGTATATTTGATTGTGTGCGTGTGTGTATGCTTACTCGCTTATTACACATGTCTAGCCTATTGTTATTGCCTTACTATAAGTACTTAGTCCTGTCTTAGTGCATGAGAGTTGGCCCATACGATGTCTCCATTTCGCTTCGGTTTGCTTGAATGCTTTTCATTTTCATGTCTGTATTGGCTTATATGACTGTATGAAATAAATTCATCCGCAAAACCGTATTTAACTTCTTATTACCACAATCGCACAAACAAGATTTGCCTATTCGATCATTCGTCCACATTGGAGTCAAGTCTCGGGGCCACTAAACGTCTATGATGTAAACTATGAAATAATTATTACTTCAAACATGTTATAACTACCAGTAATAACTTTGTCTCTGTCATGATATTCATCAAATATCCTAAAGAAATTATTTTGTAAGTCTAATTCTATTGGTCAATATTTAAGGTCGTCTTCTTAAATTACCCTTTTAAATATTGTTTCCTATTGGGATTAGTTTTCACTATCGTCCCTAACTGTATAAAAATATGGATTGTCTGTAAAGTTTTATTAGTTTTATTCTTTGTCTGTTCCCCGACTTCATAAACAACTTTCATCGAATAGTGTTGTGTTCTGATTTATTGGCGATGTTTGGATGTGTATTTAGGGGTCGAACTATAGGATATTTGAATTTGGTCAGCTGGTAGAATTTCGAATAATCACATGAGCGCATGAATAACTTTTATTTCTTAGAAATTCAAATACACGAAAAACAAGCGATGCGATAACTTACTTGAAAATATAGAAAATTATCAAAGCCAAACATAAACACGTACAAGATAGTGAATATCCAGTTAGAAAGATACAACGTAATACCATAGTTAAATCCTATATTCAGTTTCAAAAGAAATAAACATTGCTTTTTTAAAAAAACGAATAATATTTTTAATCAAATTATTTGTTAAAATTGTGGTGCGAGCTACTTATAAGTAGTATATGACGTGAGTGTCAACGTAATGTCTGGCAGCAGAAAATGGGGGAAGATCAAGAAAGGAAGAGTGGGAACACAATGGAATTTGTATGAAACGCATGAACAATGAGATGTCAGACAATGGATTGATGTTTTGCAAATTAACAGTTTACGATATGGTTTTCCAATTTTACTGAGTAACTCTGTAATTTTCGTTAAATACAATTCGGTTTCCCCACCTGTGTTGTCCTTCACTACAAAATGAATGCTTTTTTAAATATTTATCAGTTAGAGTTATGGAGATTAGTGTTTTTTATTTGTACATTGAAATTATCAGTCAATCATTGTGTTAAACAACCAGCATTAGAAACCTGGGAGAAACACTGAAAAACGGCCGTTTTGTCCTGTTATGAGACTCTTCAGTAGCAGTATGCATCCACGACTCCTGCACTTCACAGGATTTGAAACCGGGACCTTCGGTCTTGCGCGCGAACACCTAACCTCTGGATCACTGGGCCGGCATCCAACGGTGTTAATGTCTAACTCTGATCAATTTACAGATTTAGCGCGACTTCACCCAGGTTTCTAATGGTGCTCTAACAATGATTGGTTGATGATATCAATGTCCAATATCCTATTAAATAGATTTAAGCATTGTTTAAATCAATTCATATTATAGAAATGATGACAATTACTGATTATTGTTGTTGTTGACATTGCACTTTATACTCTTATCAATAATATTTCATTTCATATCACTGCGAATGATGTAATAAAATGAAATCTAGGCACATTTTTGAAAGCATGAATCAATCAATGTTGGACCACCATCATTGGAGTAGCCTTAAAGCAATGGATGGCCATTTCATCCTCCTGTTATGGGACTCATCAGTGGCAGTAAGGATTATTGACTCCTGCCGCTCGCAGGATTCACACCCAAGACCTTCGGTCTTGAATGTTTGAAATTTTGTAAGGTTTGATTAATTAGATAAATTTTATATAGTTTTATATTTCGTCTTATTTATGGAAGTTATCAGTCAGATATTTTATAAGTTGTATTGTTTATTATTATTATTATTGTCATCTTTTAGTTGGTGTACAAATTCTTAACGATAACTTCTCCTGGAGCCGTTCTAGGGTTACTGCCATTGCACAGGCCGAATACACAGAAGTGAACAAGCAAGTGAAAAGGAACATCAGAGCTGACAAACGTAAGTATATGGAAGATGTAGCAATGATAGCAGAAAAAGCTGCAAGAGAAGGAAACATGAGACAACAAAGAAGCTCACTGGAAATTATCGTACACCAGAACGATCAGTGAAAAACAAGGACGTTAAAGAAAGCATCAACATTGAAGAACGGCGAAATAGGTGGGTAGAGCACTTAAAAGAATCAGCCTAACTTAACCTACCGAACGTCAAAGAAGCACTCAAGGGACCTTTCAAACGAAGTTGACCCACCAGTATGTTTGAAACTATTACGGGTTTACCTTAGTCGATAAACGAGAACGAGACAATGCACCAGCATCCAAATAGGCTAGCCTGATCTGCTGACGAATGTAATGTCTTGATGTAGCGTAGAAAGTATATTCTACAAACACCAAGCAATCACAATACAATCAAGCACACAAATCTCATCATAGGAACGTCCTTGGGACAGTCACAAAAATAACACACTAATATACACAGAAGCCAATTACAGCCAAGGATTTTCCTGGTGGGAAATGAAATCTCAAGGTCAAATGGTCAGCCCATGTTCAGAAACGTGAAATCCAAAATTAAGGCATTTATCAAGCGAGTTCTGGGGATCTAACGTCCCCAACATAATCGGTTTTCATGACTTGTAAAATTCTTACTCTAAATTTAAATTTAGACATTTTCATTGACAGCTTGAAGAAAACACACCCACACACACTTTAAAAAATCTTACCAAATTTGATGAATCCTTTGTTAGAAGACATGATATGTAGTTGGATTTGGAAGACCAATTTCCATGCTCTAAACATTCTTTACTTGCATTTTCTAAAATGTAAACACCAACAATGATTATTGATAAATTTGTTCACATAGAATATATACATATAATATTTGGGAATCATTTATCTAAGCGACTAGACATCAGTTATTTTTTGTTTTTTGGCAAAGGTCTTTAATACTACACACATTTTCTTAAACAAGAACTAATCATAACTCATTAAGACGGTAGAATCAAATTACAGAACCATTTACTAAACATATATTCAGTAGATAAAAAACAAATTCTTACAAACATTTATCCCTCTAACATCATTCCATTATGACTTTAATAAAATTCATCTAAATATCTGAAAATAATCAACCAATCCAATGCATGTGTAAATTGTTACTTATAACAAATGAAAATTATAGATCGACTAACCATTTGAATTGTACATTTGACCTTCATAACTTGATGGACATGGCATTTGAACTGTGGTTCCTGCTAATATCGGTGGCCAACATGTTGCACCATCATGATATGGTGGACAATATAATAATGATTTATTTTGTAATTGAATAACTAAAAATGAAAATCAAGAAGAAATATATATACATAGATACAATTTATAAGAATACTCATACAAATATATATTTGAATGAATAGTTTAACATGTATGAATGAAAATTGAGGAAAGCACTGAACTAAATCACAAGACAAGCCCTCAGTTGGAATCCTTTAGGCCAGAAGGAAGAGGGGAACCCTAAAGAACATACTAAGTCGAGAATTGGAAGCAGACATAGAAAAGAATGAATAGCAACTGGGTAAAACTGGAAAGGAAGGCCCGTCAAAGAGTAGGTTGTAGAATGCTGGTTGGCGGCCTATACTGCTTTAGGCGTAGCACGAGTAAGTGCATAAATAAGTGAGTAAGTAAGTGCATAAGTAAGTAAGTAAGTAAGTAAGTAAGTAAGTAAGTAAGTAAGTAAGTAAGTAAGTAAGTAAGTGCATAAGTAAGTAAGTAAGTAAGTGCATAAGTGCATAAGTGCATAAGTAAGTAAGTAAGTAAGTAAGTAAGTAAGTGCATAAGTAAGTAAGTAAGTAAGTGCGTAAGTAAGTAAGTAAGTAATAATCTCAGCGATTGACACTTTTGTTTCTAGATAATTCCAACATTTCCTCCCGTTATCTTGTCTAAACTTCTTCAGGATAATAATAATAATGATAATGATAATCAAAATTATCAAAAATTATGCAACACTTAATAAATTCTATGTTGTTTAAAACAAAATGTTTCTCGTTTAATTGTGAAATACTCAAATCTCTTGAGAAATTTGTCTGTTTGTTTGTTCAGTCAAAATTGGCAGTTACAGCTATTTAGAATACATCTCTTGTTTGAGAGAGAGAGAGGGAGAATGTGTAATACGTCATCAAGCCATTACGAGCTTGCAGTGATTACACCCGAGAATGAGTAATATTGTTGTTGACATTTAATCTGTTCTCATACCGAAGGAATTCTTTAAATATAAATAATGAGACAGATTAGAAAGTTTGGCAGAAAAATGTAACTACTCCAACACACACATACACACACACATCAATCCTTAATCGTATTAAAACGATTGATTGTTAAGTTGTCTGTCAGAAATCTAAACATTTACAAAATGTCATTTCGTTTAATAAACAGGTTTTAATGTTTCATACAAAATAGACCATATTTATTAACTTTTCACATATGATAGCATCTATTGAACTAGTAGTGAGTGATAAATCGTTCTAATGAAATAATGAATGATATAAGGCATAACAGTGCAGTCACATGATTAAATTGAAAAACCGAACAATGTTAACTGCCGTTGAATTATATGCATTAAACAAAATAAAGGTTACGAAATGTTCAGACAATGATTATTACGTGAACAGATACAAAGGAACAAGCAAATACAGTTGTATATTATATGTAAGCAAATATCAGAAATCTAAATCAATATCGAGATGGTGGAGAAAACTTATAGCTCAGGTAGATGATTGTGGTGGTGTCTCGTTCTCTGAGTTGGTTGTTTTGGTTGTGGAGCTTTCATTTTTCTTCTACTGAACAACATCATCTATCTGAAGTTTGTGCTGATGATGAAAGCTGCACAACCAAAACAACCAGCTCAGAGAATGAAACACCACCTATAAGTCAATATTGGCCTCTCTGAAGATAGTCTCAAAGAATTGCTCTTAAGATACACACTGAATGTACATTTTGTCTTCGGTAATGCTTATTACGGACAAATAAACGGAATAGCCATGAACTAACATCCGGGGCCAATCTTAACTGGCTTCTTTCTAGCCAAATTAAAAAATGGAAACCTTAATATGGCTATTAAGAAACTAGATTTATAATGCCGCTACATCGACGACATACTCGTTCTCGTAGATTAGTATATCAGTAAAGAACACGTCATAGAATAGTTCAACAGTATACATCCGACAATCACTTTCACGATTGAGGACGAGTGTGACAAGAAACTGATTTTTATTGATGTCTCACGAAGTAGACTGAATGACAGCATATTAAGTAAAAGTGTATGTGTAGTTTTACATCTAACTGCTTCAAAAGAAATTAAGTCAGGAGTCCAATAAACAGAGCGAAAATGATCTACTCAGTGAAGAGGAGCTGGAATTGTTTCACAACTTGCTGATCGAGATTGGCTACCTCAGTGGTTTGTGAAAGAAATACATGTACACAAAGAAGAATAAGTGGGATACTTTGAACATTCGAAAGAAACCTATATTCCCAAAGCTACAATTAAACGGGGATGTGGTTAGCAATGTCCTGTATGATAGATTAAAAGGTAATTATTAGGACATTATATACAGTTAGTCTTGTGTCGACAATTTCTTGTCGACCAGTGTGATATTTACTCAAACAAAGGATCAGTTACTTGAATTGATCTGGCCAGTGTGCGCTTATGAATTCAACTGCACTTTAGGAGATAGCGATGTTGGGCATACTACAAGGCAACTCAACCAACAAATGTAGGCTACATTGAACGAAATGGCTCAGAATTGTCTGCAATAGCGCAGGTGCATTCATTCATTGCGTTCTCTCAAATTCTAACCATCTGATTTCCTCATCATCTCAATCTTTCTCTTTCTAAAGTTATTTCACTGAATTTTACTGCTTAAATAATATCTTCGAACCCTAATCTTCTCCATTACTGCTAATATTTCTACTATCGCTACCACTATGGGATTTGAACTGACAGTTGCGTCTCTGTGCTGATCCTTTATGGTAACCGGAACTAAAGTACTCGTGTACGAAGTCCTACCTTGCAACGACTGACTGACTGAACCTCTTCTATCATGGTTTGAAAGGGGCCAGGTAAAAAACAATAAGCATCTCTATCTTGGTACACTATACTTATAGTGGTCATGGTATTTAGATAAAACCAAAGCTTTTCAAGTGATCTATGGTACATACCTGCATCATTTCTCAACGAAGTTCGATCCCATCCGCTACATATGGCAAAAGTCATAAGAATCCGACTCGTCACCTTCAGTTTATATGCTCATAAGAAATTCGTGACATTTCTGTCCTCTCTTTGGTTGGATATAAACTACTACTACTATTACTACTACTACTACTACTACTACTACTACTACTACTACTACTACTACTACTACTGTGGTGCTGTGGTGGAACTACTTATAAGTAGTATATAACGTGAGTGTCAACGTAAAGTCTGGTAGAATAATATGGGGGGAAGATCAAGAAAGGAAGAGTTAGAAAACAATGGAATTTGTATCAAACGCATGAATAGTGACAATGGATTGATGTTTGGCAACAGGAACAGTCCAGTTCGATAGGATGAACTGATCTTTTGCAAATGAACGATTTACGATATGGTTTTCCGATTTTACTGAGTAACTCTGTAATTTTCGTTGAATACAATTTCGGTTGCCCCACCTGAGAGGAAGGGCGGAGGCCGTATATGACAGCTTGGACGGTGCTGGCGGGAAGACGCCATGGGAGGCGGTCGTTGAGCGGCTGATGGCCGAGTTCGACAGCCCGGTGGACAGAGAGGAGGCGTTGCGGAAGTTCCGGTTGGCGAGGCTCTCGGCTGATGGTGACTCACAAGGTTGCTGCGCCGTGCGTTGCCGAATATCGATGAGGAGTCGGAGGCACAATTGTTGGCGTCGCAATTTATTGAGAGTGTGCCTGCCGCTGTGTCCCAGCAGCTGAGGTTAGTAAATGCAGCACAACCTATGGACATCGGCGAACTGGCGAAGGTGACTCGTCAGCTGATGACACGAACAGTAGCTCCGGTCAGAGTGATAAAAGAAGGAGAAGACGTAGACAAACGAACAACGGACAAGGAGGTAGTAATGTTACTTAAGCAAAAGGAACGACTGAGAGTGAACGCATATGGAGTCCTGACCTGGCGGGATGATGACGAGAATTGGGTAGCAATAATCCCAAAAGATCTGCGCCAGGAGATGATTCGTGAATGTCACCAGGTAGCGCTCACAGGTATTGCACGGACAACTGATTTGCTGCGGCAAAGTGCGTACTGGTTAGGTATGAGAGACGATGTTGCACGATATGTATTAGCGTGCCAGCGATGTCAACTAATGAAAGGGGATCGATGCATACGACCGCCATTGCAGTCAATTCCAGTAACAGCAGTTGGTGATTTGTGGTCAGTAGATGTTATGGGACCGTTCCCGCAGACGACAAGTGGTAACCAGTACCTGCTGGTGATGACTGAGCATGCCACACGATGGGTAAATGCCGTGCCGATGGCGGACCAACGTGCAAGGACGGTGACGGAAGCGGTAATGCGGCACATTGCGGCGGACCATTGGATACCAAAGATAATATTAACCGATCCAGGTCCCTGTTTCGAGAGTGATGAGTTCAAGTCCCGTCTAAAGCAGTTAGGTGTCAAGAGAGTACGAACAACGCCGTATCATCCACAGACGAATGGGTTAACGGAAAGGAATAACCGAACGCTAAAGGAATGGCTAGCATCTAAAGGGGGTGACTGGGAGAAAGAATTACCATTATTCTTGCTGGCACATCGTGCCTCGGCACAGGGAACAACCAGGAAGTCACCGTTCCAGCTGATGTATGGCAGACGGCCGAGACTACCAACGCATGATAAAACCTGGCCGCAACAACAGAGATGGAATACAACAAGATTGAGAGCAGAGCGGAGACAAGCAATCAGGAATGTGAGAGAAACAAACATCAGACATGGAAAAGTCAGAACAGGAGAGAAAGAACTGGAGACCGTTTGAAGTGGGAGACCAGGTGAAGTGTAGAGAACGGAAATATACCACAGGAAGAGGGCCAGGGTCAGGTAAGCTGATCCCGAAGTGGGAGGGACCGTACGTCGTCACCGAGAGGCGCGGCGCAGTGTATACGATCCAGAAAGGAAACAAACAGAAACGCGTGAATGCCAGTGAACTCCAAAGGTGGTTCCAAGTGCGCCAAGAGGGCGAGCCACAAACACTGATCAAGAAGACGGCTGTACGGAGATCAGAAAGACTGCGACGACAGCTTATTAAAAGGGGGGACGAGTGTGGTGCTGTGGTGC